TTTTGACTTAGATTTGATGCCCTACATTTTACCCTCGTCAGAAGCTTACGCAGCTCCATTTCAAAACTTGTTTAAGCTAATCTGAAATCCAGTTTTCAATTACATCATTTATACTTTTTTCCATAGGGATACATTAAAGAAGTTCAGTACTCATTTTATGCCCAATAACCGAATTTTTGAATTATTACTCTCATGTCGGCTTAATTACAGGAAAGGCCCTTGCTGTCGTTAGTGCCTATTTTAGCCTATGGAAAGTACCAGTCTCTTATGCTCAAACTGGTAAGTCAATGCACATTTCTTCCACAGTCGCTATTTAACTCATTATCTAATCGCCAAATAGTTGTGATCAAAATAATCTTGAACAACTAAATAGAAATTGACCATTTTTTCCAAAACTAATTTACTGTAGATGCTATAATTTTTTTCCCAAAAGGGCAATCGGACTTCATCTCTCGAAATACCTATACAACTGATAGTTGTTGTATTTTGACTTTAGAAAATCGTGTATATCGCTATTACATTCAATATCAATGTTCTTAGCTCTTGAAAAGCTGAAGAAAACCCCCAACATTTCAATGGTTTATGAGCTGGATGCGATAAAGCAGTTTCACCTTCTTTTCAAGTGTGATCTTCAGAGTTTGTCAATGGCGTACGATGTCTCAGTTTTTCTCGGCTTGTCATTTTATCAAGAGCTGCAATATTTGTAAATCCATACCTTTAAAAAAATCATAAACCCTTTGAGCATTTCAAACCAACAACTCAGTCAATTTGAGATAAAATTTACAAATTTCAATCTCACTCTGCTGACTAACAAAAAATTTAGTGAAAGCGTCCATGCCGCTGTTTGCCGTTTTCCTTAGCAGATTTGTCTTGAAAGAAAGCCATAGTTACAAAGTGAGTTCTTTTTTCTGATGTATATTTTCTGGTGAACAACGTCTTTCTAGGTTTATCTGTCCTTACTGCCTATAGTCGCTGGTGTGATCATAGCTTCGGCTACAGAATTGTCGTTCTCGATGATTGGCATGTTTTCAGCGCTCTTTTCCACGTGTACCTATTCTTTTCTCAATATTTTAGTTAAAAAAGTATGTTCCATGACTTTACTTTGGAATCTTTCGGAATGCTTTTGTTTTATAGTTATTGAAAGAGTCTGATATACATCCTATTCGACTCTTAGCAATGAACAGTCAGCTGGCAGCGCTGATGGTTTTCCCATTCTGGTTGTTCAACGACGCCTTTACCATGGTTAGCAACTTCGGGTCCATTGTAAGTCTATCTGTCTTTTATGGTTTTTCTTACTTTTAAGTGATTTGAATGCACAATCCATCGCATTGTTTGCTATCAGGAAGCGAGTGCGCCTACGCCTGATTTGTGGATGCTTTGTCTTCTTGCGATGACTGGCGTGCTGTCCTTCATGCAGAGCGTCTGTGCCTTTTCTCTTATTCACGAGTTGACAGCTCTTTCTTACGCTGTGTGCAACGCGACAAAACGAATAACTGTCATAGGATCATCGTTGGTCACCCTACATAATCCAGTCACAGGTGCGATTGCTTTTTCTTCCCGCTGTCAACCTTACAATTATCTGTCATTCGCGTATGACAAGAGCCTAATAGCTTTTTTCATTGAAAACTATACCTTTGAATAATCTCATAGTGTTAACAATGTCCCGAAGAAAAACTCGTTCTGGCAAATAAACGAAACGTACTTGGAAGTGATTTCAATAATATCAGAATGTGAGATATTCCTGGAGAATGTGATGGAAAGTTTGGGGATGGAGTATGCAATGAAGAGAATCAACGTATCCTTGAGCTTGCGACAACTTATGACTTAGTATTGGTAAACACTTTTACCAAGAGAAGATTTTAAAAGGTGTAAAAGTGGAAAGGATCAACACTCACACTTCTGGGCTGCAAGTAAAATGATTTCAAGAACGCGCGACATAACCGCTGTAGCTCGTGAGCCAATGATTGTAGGCAAGA